TCACGTTATAAGAGGCAAAAGTAGAATGATAAGAATGGATTTTTTAATGGTAACAAATGTTTAAAATACATCACAAGAGCCACTTGTCACAATGATTCTAAGATATCTGACCGAAAACTATTATTAGTGTGAAATTTAAAACTTTCGACACCTTCGTTAAATTTAGAAAAGTTAAATAATTTATGAAGAAGAAGGTCAATTTTACTATAAAATTAAATTTTAAAAATAATTTTTTATTTGCATAAGAGTGTGTCTGCGTGTTTTTTAAAGTATAAAAATACTAGTAGCAAATATTCTTAACATTAAATTTGATATAAATTATAAATAAACGTTGAAGATTATTAAATTTTCTAAATATAAACAGGAAAAAAAACTCTTTGTTAAATAAGATAAATTACACTCTTTAAAATATCGACTCAGGACATCAATAAAATGATGTTTTTTAATGTTTCTTTTCATTTAGAATTTGATAATTGATAACTCTCTAAACATTTGAATAATTATTGATAAATATTTATCACTAAAAAACATAAAACTTGAAGTGAAAAGTCATAAAACACGCTAATTAATGCAAGAGGCGGTACGCATAACAACACCTGCCAGTTATTTAATTGAAGTAGGAGTCATGTAAAGTAGATATTGGTAATTGGTTGGTAAAACCAGTTCATTAACTTGTGCATCGGATCTTTAGAACATCGTTTCAGTAAAGTGACAGGTTTAGGTTGAAGGGAGAAATGTCCTCTTAAGATAACGCACAAAGAAGTGTAATGAAGCAGATATTTGACTCGTTATCTTCCAACCAGACGTGGTTAAATCACCCACCAATCTTTCTACTCGGTATAACAAATGTGTTTGTTACTAGCAATCAAATTTTCTCTGTTACACACGTATGAATTTGAAAAGTATAAGAAAGAACAGATCAAACAATTTCTAGTTTCAATAGATTTCTTCCTACTTTATGACAAAAGAAATAAAGAAGAAGAAGAAGGGGAAAAAAAAGACGAATTTTTTAATGGGCTATTTTTAGCTAAAACCTGTAGACGTTAAACGATTTACTCAAAAATTTTACTGTAAGTTCTGAGATTTAACTCACACCAAATGATCTTCTTCATATGTGAAGGTAAAAGTATCGTAAAGCGCAGAAAGAAATGGCTAGATCAGAATTGTTGAGCCGTTCAAGGATTCTTCCATGCAGAAAATCGATAATAAAAACTTAAAAGAATAAAAAATATATATATATATATATATAAAATATATTCACCAGTTTTGTTATATGAGGGTATAAGAAAAATTTCTTGGCATCACTTCTAGATATGGGATATATTATTTGCATAATTTCATTTCTCTGTGGAGATTTTTGGTTTATCGAAAAGTTTATCCATTGCGGTTTTATTAAGAGTTGAATAATTTAAGAATATTTTACATAAAAAACATTAAACATAAAGCTTACGAAAGTAATAATAAAACTTGTGATGTAAAATGGTCTCACGTTATAGATAAATAATAAATTTTCTTGTTCATCATATTCGAATGGTGAATGAACAAAAATCTACCTGATACTTTTTAGATGAAGAAATTAGATAAAAATTTCATTTGCAGGAAAAAAAAATTTACTTCAGATATAACTTCGTTTGAAAGATTTAGTAGAAATTCAATGAAAGGTGGGAAAAACGATAGTTTATAATCGTAAAAAAATTCACAAAGGAATATAAATAAAAGAAATATAGCTTAAAGAGGTTCCACGATCGAGGATATTCAACTTAAAGGAATAAAGAAGAGTCTCATAATCGAGGGAATCTGTGAAAGAACGAAGCTCGTAATCAAAATAGATTCTGAAGAAATGAATCTAGTGATCACTCTCGGTATTAGTTTTTTTTAAAAAAAATATCATAAAAACAATTAAAGTTATATAATAAAAAGGAAAATTAATAAACTAACAATAACAACAATATAAAGAATAAATATACGTTCGATATATAATTATTTAATATGCTATATAAAAGAAAAAAAACAATTCAATTATTCGAAATATCATTATATGATAATTAAATATGCATTAGGTCAATTAATTTTCTTACTTACGATTCTTAAACAGAATTATTAAAATTAGAAATTAAAATAGAAACAGCTGCAATTGATTGCTATGAGTCACATAAAAATTGCGTATTTAATATTTCGTATACATCCTTTTTTCCATACATATTTTTTTTTCCAGTAGAAATACAAACCGGTTATTCTGATAAATAAAACAAAAAAATGGAAGAATATTTATGTGGCAATAACTTTGTTTTTAAAATTTATTACTTTTACTATACTGCACGAATACTATTTGTAAATATGTGGTTATAAATTACTATTATATTGCTTGAGTACTATTAATAAATATATGGCAATACAACACTACTTGCAAACATGTGGCTGTATAGTGCATACTATTCTGTAAACATGTGGCTGTACTGTACATCATTGTATAACTTGTAAGCATTAGGCTGTGCATTACATATATAGTAGAGCCTCGAAAACTCGGCACTCGATAACCCGGCACTCTGGATAACTCGGCCACACTTTGGCAGGGCAAAAAAATCCTTAGTTAATTAATTTTCATTATAGACAGCTTTATAAAAGTATAAAAGCTCTCGTAAAGTATTTTTCTGAGGTCTGTCTTATCAGGTAAATTACTGTACACAGTGTATTTATTAATTTTCATTTTCATGTAGTAAAGGCTGTATGCCTTCATAAAGGACGTACTTTTCCTCTGTTTAAGGGTATTTGGGCAGTTTATTCTCTGTTGTATTCTCAAACAAACAATACATACAAGTACAGTACAATATTTTCTGAGGAAACACGCATACTTATCCTTTCGTAACCCCATTCCCGATAACCCGGCATTTTCACAAACTCGGCCACCCTTCGGTCCACATTAGGCCGAGTTTTCGAGGCTCTACTGTAATACTAATGCAAAATAATAGTAAACACGTTACTATAAATTGTGGCTAAACAGTATTACTAGTAAATATGTGATTATATATTTTCAATACACATAAAATTAAATATCGTATTTAATATTTATAATATTATTTTAAACCAAAATTGTGAATAATCGGTTGAAACTTAGCAATTATAAACGAGTAAAACAATTATTTTCTTTAAAAAACCGAGTAAAAATTTGTTATTTTTGTTCTTTGTTTTCTGTTACAGAATAATTAGAATTGCATTTTTTAATTAGAATTTCAACTTTTGAAAGAAATTGAGATAGAGATAATTAGCAGCCAACCATTGAATATTTATATATATATATAATATATATATTTTAAAAAATTTTAAATAAGTTTACAATAATTAAATTTTGTAATTAAACTTTAAAAAATTTTTAAATAATTTATTATTTTTTAAAAGTCAAACTGTAATGTTTAATGTATAAAATTATGTAAAATTTTGCATTTTTTGTGTATTTAAATCAGAATATTAAGCTAACTTATATTGATTTATATGAATCAATATAATCTATGGGTTACTATAATTAGATTATACACACAGAGATCGTTATTATATGGATATTAATAGTTACATTTTATGAATAATATAATATTTTAAATTTTATTCTTGACGTTTTCTCATATCAATTTATGCAGACGAATTTCGAATTTTAAGTTGCATAAATTGATATATTTTCGAAAAATTTTATCATACAAAAATATTGATCTTACTTTATGTGATTTTCTAGAAAAAATTACATATAAAATCTATATGACCTAAATATATATAATAAAGTATTGTATTATATATATTTATTATTTTATATTGAGACAAAACGTATAATCATTATGCAAAATCCTATGCAAATTTCCAAATAGAAAGTAAAAGTAATATATGTATAATTAAAAAAACACACACACACACAAAACACATGTTCTTAGAAAAACCCTACATTTTATACAATTATTCTGGTCCTGTATAAAAGTAGACTGATCAAAAGATCTATGTGTAGAGCTTTCTATAAAAGTATGAAGTTTTATATCAGTTTGGTTTATTAGATCAGTCGTATATGGTCAGTGTAATTGGATAAAAGTATAAGGTTATTCTAAGCTATAAAAAGAATTTTTTGCAGTTTATCTTATTACTTTATGTATGAAGTTGTGAAAAAAATTATAAAGTAAAAGTAATACGTAATAAACTATAAAAACTGCCCTCTGATACTAGAACAATCCTACACTTTAATCCAAGTAGATTGACCCTACAGAACTATTTGTAGAGTAATTTTCTAAACTAGACTAATAGAAAACTTCATACTTTTATACAGAACACTTTACAGAAAGTAAAATATAAATATATACTTTTAAAAAACACAAAAAAAATGAATGCCTTTTTCACCTTGAAAAACTGTACCCTTTTACACAAGGCTGACCCTATACGAACCAGACTGTTCCTACACTTTTACACAGAAAGTAAAAGTAATACATAGTAAAAAATAAAGAGAAAAATGCCTTTTGGCACCTAGTTAATCTTTAAGAATTGTTGACCTATAAACAATAAACATCCTTGAATGTAAACTAGTTCAAAACAGTAAATTTGACTCCTCTCCTTGAATACAAATAAGCAGTAAAGATATATATGTATATACGATTTCTATTTGGTATATAAATATTAATTTCGATGTTTACTTAACACATATAGAAAAGTAATGATATACACAGTTGGAGATAAATTAAAAAACATCTGAAGTAATTTGTTACAAAATGTATATCGATCGTCAACGAAACAGCTGCGATAAATTTATCCAATGTGAAGGAATGCAAATTATCTTTTTCTACATAAACTTTTTGCTTATTCCTTTTCGTGCCTTTACAGCTTATGACCTAACCTTTAATCTTACGTAATGTAAGATATGTTTGGAACTAAATATGTAAAAGAATTATAGAATTAAACTATTCTCTTGATGGATCACGAATCATTTTAAATATCGAGTTTTAGTAGTTAGAAATTAAGATAAATTTACTCACGTTCTGCCCTATACGAACCAAGGAAGAATGTAAATGAAATTGTATAGAAGGTACGTCCTGTGTTACTACTAAACCGGATCCCAAAACTGATCAAGGACAGCGAGTCGAACACGTGTCTTGGGACTATTAAATAAAAAAAAATATATTAATATATATAAAAAATATTAAAAAATTTTAAATTTATATTTTATATTCGCTCATGAAAATACGTAGCAATAACCTCTTTCTATAATGAATTCAATCACGCGATATAACACAAAACCCGTGTTTAAAAAATTCTAATTTAATTGTGTGTTTTTTTTAATTAAAAAAAATAGGGTGCTCACGTGAAAGATTAATTATAATTTGTAGTTTCCTGATAATGATTTAAGTAAGGAAAGTGTTTAGTATGTAAATTTATGCTAACAGAACTCAAAATTAATAGAATAAATCCACAAGAATGACAAAATTTTCGAGAGTTTATTGCTTATTTAATTAAAATGTTTACATATCGCTTGCTGTAACTTATTGTTTATTGTTAAATTCGTGAAATCATTGTAATAATTACTATAAATGAAAGGAAGATCATATTAAAATAATATAATATCGTCAACTGTATTTTTTATTTTTTTATTTATTCTTTTCGTGTTAATAAGAATGGTAAGTAGAAAATTTGAATATATGCAGAGTCATAATTCATATAAAAATATTATAAATTCTTTAGAAAAATTTATTATTTAGTACGCTTGTAAAATGTACTCGTAGACATTTCTAAAAATTTTAATATGAAGAGGGACAATATTTGTTGATCCCTTCGAGAAACTAATAAAGAATATATTAAAAGAATAAAGAATAATGATAATTAAATGCTAAAATATAAATTTTTATTAAAAATGTAATCTTAAAAAACACATTATTCGCTATAAGAATTTACTTGTCAGTAAAGGAAAAAGAATTTCTTTTTTTTTTCTTTGAACGTCCACCTCTAAACAACGGCCAATTTATTCAGGAACTTTTTTTAATTAAACAAAACTGCATACAAAATTAACCTCTAAACAACGACCATTATTTTTTTTTCAGGAATTTATTTAATATAAAAATAAACCTCCAAGTAACGGCAACCACCGAACAACGTCCATTTTAAACGTTCCCATCAGTAGCCATTCTTCAAAGGTTTGACTGTATTATAAAATAATCAAGATAAATAAATAAATAAATAAATGAATTTTGAAAATCATTTTAATCCAATTTTACTAAAATGTTTTCAATTGGAGATTATTTTCCTCCCTTCCTAAAAAAAAATTATTTTATGTAATCTTTACACGTTTTGATTTTTTGACTTTTTCCGTGTTTAAAAAATAATATTACAACAATTTTAAAATGCAGACAGTGAAATTAAGATAAGAGCATTGGGTGGAACTTAGATTCAATCTGAATATTAAAACATAGAGAATGTGTTGCTAGAATGAGTTTAGATATATAAAAAAAACAGGGATGAAGGTGTAGAGACTTTATGACTGTGCATTATCAAAGTATAGATATTCAAACAATGTTTTCCTTCTTATTATCCCATATTTTTTTTTTTTTCGTTTTCTATTGTTTTCTTCTTATTGATTGCCACTCATTACGTTATATGATACTACATTTTATTTTTATTTTATTATAAAATTGTTACTTGTAAAGGAGTAAAGTCTCATTTCTTTTAAGTTATTTGTATTCATTACTTGTGTTGATATAAACTCTCATAAATGTAAAAAAACGACCCATATCTGTCTAAAGATTTTTAAATTAAATTATACTGAAAGGATAACAAGTTTAAACTATAAAAATGAATACATATGACTTTATTAATGCTGTAGAATAAAATGTAAATGTTCTTATAACTCAGGATTTTTTTTCTTTTTGATATTTATAAATTTTAAATACAGTCAAACCTGTAAACAACGGCTACTGATGGAAATATGTTCGGAGACTATTTTAAAAATTTACTGACAAATTGTCCGCTATTTAGAGGTGGCCTTTGTTAGAGGTTCGATTGGAATTAGATTATGTTTATAAGCTTTTTACACGCGTAATAAATGTTTTATTAATACTTTTTAATACATAATAACAATTATAACGTGTGATATTCGTTATAATTTTTATTCTAAGCACATTAAATTATAGTAATATAATAAAAAAAAGTGTATAAAATAGATTTATAATATATTTCCCACGGCACAAAATAGAATAAAGGGTCTTCTTTATCAAGATTACGCCCATGTTTAAGACAATTAGAGTTATATTAACAATAATACATGAAGTACATGCTGTTGTCTGTCCTTACAGAAAATGTTTATTAAGTATAGTATATTAAAAAGTGTACTTTATTAATGCTGTAGAATAAAATGTAAATGGTCGTATAACTCATGATTTTTTAATATTTATAAGTTTTAAGTACTTAGAGTTATGTTTATAAACTTTTTATGCGTATAATAAAGGTTTATTAATACTTTTTAACACATAATAAAAGGTATAATATGTAATTTTTTTCGGCAAATTTTTGATAAAGTAGTAAATTTATGGTTATAATTTTTATCTTTAGAACATTAAATTATAATAATATAATTAAAAACGTACATTAACCATGTATAAAATAAATTTATTATGTGTTTCTCATATCATAAAAGGTTTTTCTTTATCAATATTATTTCCATTTTTAAGATAATTAAGCTTTTATATAGAAATCTTAAAGTTATCTAATAAATCTCTTAAGTACAGGTACTGTACAGTACATGCTGTTTGTCTGTCCTTGTAAAACAATGTTCAGTAGATTTAGAAAATATTTACTCGAAACTTCTTTACAAGAAACTATACATGTTAAATTACATAAACCTATAATTTTAAGATACCAAAAAAGTCCTGTATGTCTGTCCTCGCAGAAAAAAAACAAAGAAAATATTTATACAAATTTTCTTGTTTGCAAGAAACCTTACATGTTAACCTGTAATTTTAAGGAAGGTTTAAACACACAATACACGAAAGTATAATTATAAAGTAAAGCAAACTGTGTGCATCGTGTAAATGTTCCCTTATATTAAATCATTAAAAAAATCTATGAATGAAATATGACTTGGAGGCATCACACGTGACTAAACTGTGACTATAATATTAATTCTTATAGCTAATATCGTTAACGTATGTAAAACTAGTTCCAAAATACGTCAAGATTTAAGTAATTAAGTAGAAAGATTGTCTAGAAAATACATTTACAGAATTAAATTGCATGAAACCGCATGGAAAAGGTATGGTGTAACATTACTTTAGCTGCATAATTGAACCCTTTTTTAATCACAATTACGGAAATTATAGTATTTAAATATTAAAGAAGATCACTTTTGATGAAAATTATCCTATTTGCTACAGTAATCACGTTTTTACCCTGTAATTTTATCAATTGCTTTTCTTATATAAAATAGCTTTAACTCATTTAAAAATAAAAATAATAAAAAATAAAATTCTTATTTAAGTAAAATAATTTTGGATTTTATTAAAAGGATTATTAAAGGTTTAAAAATAAAGTAAAGTTAACTAAATATGAAAATTTTTATATAAAAATATAAGAAATTTTTCCTCGATAGCCTTTTGATGAACTTTAACTGCTTATTATGCAACACCTGCTTTAAATATATCCGGGAAATTTGAATAAATTTAACATAAAACAATAATTTAATGCTTTTTTAACAAGAAAATGGAAACTAAGCTGATGTTAAATTGATAAAAATGTCATTCTAAATGTTAATTGAGATCTGTTATCATTCGTTCGATTTTTATCATTTTTAGAAGAAAATGAAGATAAAATTGTTTAATTCTTCTAAAATAATACATTAAAAATATCTTTTAAACATTTATATATAATAATTTTAAAGAAATTTATTTACAATTTTGAGATTTTTTTTTATATTAGACAATTTAATAATACATGTTTCTATTATTTTCTTTCTAAAATGTCAGCCAGATGACCATGAGGATCAGAACATGAAGCTCAAGCTCACTTGATCTTTCATGGTATTTGGTCCGTTGAGGTACCCTGATCCTGATTAAAGGTCAGGAATCCTTGTTTTCCTGATCCTGATTCACAGGATCATCGAATTTCCTTGACCTCAAAGATATTTGATCCCTGATCCGAATCAGATTCATATATCATTTATTATAGGTTCTACGAGTCGGGGCGTCGTTCCTGTCCCTCACTTATACTGGTCGACCCCATTGCGGATCGGGCACGCCCATAATGGGTGTATTTTTGGACAGTCACACAGCCTTAATATATAAGTATGTTGCATTAATGAATCAATGTTGAAAATGTTTGATTTTTACGTTCTAAAACCTGAATTTTATGGAAAAAAATTGAATTAAAACATGATAGATAATTAAAATCATAAGAAAATATAAGAAAAATGTATATATTATTCCAAAATTTACAAGTAATCGAAGCTGCTTTCTAAGTTTTACTCGTAAAGTTCCATTAGTATAAACCACCGCACAGACTTTAATGTAACTTGCCATACTGATGATTAATCAAGTCACATCAATAAACTTTTCCATTTAGCAATTAACTAATTACAACTGAACGTTTATTCAATATTTAAAAGTTCTATTGAATGATTTCGTAACTTAGTAAAGTTCCAAGAAGCTTACGTGTTGAGAAACAAAGTTGTATTACAAAATCCATTCTAATCAAACTCCTCAACCTAGGATAAAAAAATAAGTGTATAAACAAATTCGATACTACGAAAAATAGATGTACAAATAGTATATTTTTCCTTGAACTTATTAGCCTTGACAAACTGTTTAACTTTCTGCTGCTGATATGCTTCTCCTGTTTGGTATTCAAGAGCATAGTGACCTTGTCACACGCATTTATACGGTTAAAGGACAAAGGAATCCGTATCCGAAAAAAAACACACGAGGGTATTGTCTCTCTTGTACAGATATTTAAAATCGCATCCATTTAAAAATAGAATTAATAAATGACAGCTTCCATTCACCATACTAGAAACGTTATTGTCTTGGAAGGACTAATTGTACGCGTCGTATGTCAAAACAGGGATTCAACTATTCTCCTAGATTTGAGGAATGAAAGAGGATTTTCTCTTATGTTCCTG